AGCTCCGGCAGCGACTCCGCTCCGAACTCGACTATGAGGAGGAGATGGCCCTCTGCATTGTGCTGGACCAGTCCAAGGTGGAGAACGGCGGTAGCTCTGGATCTAGAGCATCACCGCAGCTCGGACACTGGAGCTGGACCCTCCTGGCCCGCATGCAACGACGCCAGGACAACGTAGTCCGCACCAGCCTCGTGCCATCTCCTTCCCCCATCGGCCACTTGTCCACGCGGGCAGCGGTGGCTGCTGGTGGCCGCGCCGCCTATCCGCATGCACACTCCGAAATCACAAGCGCGCGTCGCTCACTGTGAGAGGCAGCATGCACGGGAGAGGGACGCGGTGGAGGAGTTCGCGCGCCGCCGCTGCGGGATGGAGGCTGACCAGGACAAGGACGCGTGTCTTCTCGCATGGGTCCTCATGACGAAGAAGACTTACGCTCGCCGCCTCTGAAGGAAGAACGCCAAGGCGCTCTGGCTTGCTATTGAGCGGTCGGAGCGCGAGGCGAAGGAGGCAACGACGGAAAAGGCTCGGATCGCCAGGTTGAAGTGGAAGTAGGATAGGACGATCTGTCGGATGAAGGGGCTCTTCGTCCTCTCCGACTCCAACTCCGATGACGGTGACAGTTGCACCTCCTCGTCGGATGACCAAGACCCTCCACCGACCGCGGACGCCTACAGCTGCGCGGGCGACCGAAAGGGCAAAGGCCCGGCGAGGAAATGTTTATCCCTCTGTCCTCATTTTTTATATTGTTTTAGTTGTAGAAGTTTAAGAACTTGTCCGGTGACGAACTATGATCTTTTGGATGTGCCCAAGTTTGTTAATGTCCGTTTGCAGCGATCTTATGTTCCTTTGCAGCCGATTTTTATTGTCCATCGTTTGATCATGTAGAATAGATCAACGTTGCATGTGTAGTATGGAGATAAGGCACCGAATATGAGATACATGTATGCAGAGTGGCAAATATGAGGCATGCCCGGTCAGTGCGGGCGGATGTCTCCGGATGCGTCTGCAGGCGTTTGAGGGGCCTGATTTGCTCATGGCGGTTGTAGATGCTCTAAATATCCAAAATCTAATCAAGGACCAGACAAGACTTTTTTAAGCCTATTCTTAACAGAAAAGATAGTAAAACAGATCTCCTAAAAATCCTAGTAAGGTTCGTTTTCTAAAAATCTATTGCTCATCATCGCTATCCTACAACAAATTAGAGTAACACACGGACAATAGACCATTTCACTCTTTTTTAAGACCTAATATCGATTAGATAAGCATGCGAGTACAATTTATAAACAGGATCCAAGGAAACTCAAAATTACGAACTAGATTATGCATCTTGCAAAAGAAACCCCAAACAAAAACAAAGAACTCATATTCCAATCAGCTCTGATTTTGCTCCCCAATGGACCTACACTACTAGGGAAAACCTTATACACAGAGGTATAGCAGTAGCGTTGGTCAAAACTCGGCGCTAGCGCTACTTAATAGTAGCGCTTGTTGCAAAACCACGCTACAACCATTGTTTTAGCAGTAGCACGTCTTCACAGAAAAGTGCTACTACTAAAATTCCCTCACTAATGTCGGTAGGCTAGGAATAATAGTAGCGGTTCACCCAGAAGCACGCTACTGCTAAAAACTTTGTAGCAGCGCGTTTATGTTGTAGAGCGCTACTGCTATGAAAAAGAAAATAAATAGAAAAATAAAAGAAATAGAAAAAGGAGAAATGAAAAAAAATGTAAAGAAAATAAAAGAAAAAGAAAAATAAAACAGAAAGGACTGGCTGTAGCGCGTTTCTCTAGAACACGCTATAGCTATCTTAGCTATAGCGCGTTTCGGCAAAACGCGCTACTGCTAGTTTGACTCAAATCCCGGCAGCCCGGGCTCAAAATTTCGCTAAGTCCTTTCCTCCCTCTCTACCCCCGGCCCCCCTGTCCCCCAACTGCTCCATCGCCGCCGTCGCCCTGCCGCCTTCGACCACACCGCCACCGCCCGAGGCCGCCTTCGACCACACCGCCGCCGCCCGCTGCCTTCGACCACACCGCCGCCGCCCGAGGCCGCCCTCGACCTCACAGCCGCCGCCCGAGGCCATCGTCGACCTCACCGTTGCCTCCCTCGAGTTCACCGCCGCAGCCCTCGACCTCATCGCCGCCGCCCGAGCCAGAGCCTGCCCTCGCCGCCGACCGTAAGGCTCTGCCTCTCCTATCCCCTACCCTCCTCTCTCTCTCTCTCTGCTAGGGCAATTCATATATATGTTGATACTGTGTTGATGTTCATATGAACCCTAGGTGTTCATATGAACCCTAGATTTTTTTAGGGCAGTAGGCATTTTATAGCATTTAGGTAAAATGATTAGCAATTTTTTTAGGATATTAGCTAGGACAATTTTTATGAAAATGCCTAAATAGTAATCCATTTAGCTTTAAACTAATAAAGGGTATATGAATAATAGTAGCATTTAGATTTCAATTAACAGAGGCTATAAACAAAAAACACTTATCTATAAAAAATATTTGGACTACGGACCTGAATTTATTCCAAATTTCATTCAAATGAAATTTGAATTATTTGGACTATGGACCTAAATATTTTTGAACAAATTGGGTGTAGGTACTAAGGTCTTGTTGTGGAAATTTTGGTGAGGTCAGAAGGGTTAGAGAAAATGGAGTTCCTAGACTTTTAGCTTTAGACAAAAAATAAAAGTATTTAGCTATAAATAAAAAATAGTAGCTATGGCATTTAGCTATAAACAAAAAACAGAATTGTTTTTCTTTTCAAAAACTTGATCAAACTAATTGTTGCTATGTAAACAAAAAACAAGACTGTTTTTATATGATATATGTCATTGATGTTCATTTGCATATTCCATTATTGTTGATTATATCTTTTCATTGAAGTGGCCATGTTATATGCAAATTCCTCAATAGTGTTTGCTCATGTTATATCTTTTCATTGAAGTTGTTCGATTGTGTCCAAGTGGCTTTGTTGTTTCCAGGGAATGATGCTGAGTGGCCTATGTTTTGCCAGAATGTTGATTCATTTATGTTCCGGCAAATTTCAGGTTCTCGATTTGTCCACTTTTTAGCAAAGGTCATGCCGAAATTTTCCGTGAATTTCGGCATGGCTTGTGCTACAAACTAGGACATATCGAGTGCCCGGGATTTGCCGCACCAGGAAGGAGTCAACATTCCTGCAAAACAATAGGCCTTTTTTATGTCATTATTCATTTTATTAGGTCTAGAATTAATTGAGTAGATTTAATCAT